GGGGGGGGGGGGGGGGGGCACCACGCCCACGCGGGCATCCTCAGTCAGGGCTTCCCGACAGGAAGGAGGGCCGGCCTCACGGGACCACGAAGCCTCGAGCAGCCAGACACACAGCTCCACGCCGGCCCACCGGCAGGAGCCGTGGGGTCCACACTGGCGCCCACTTCCCTCCAGCGGATGGATGGACAGAGGACGGACGGGTCCCGAGGACCCGGCCCTTCTTCACCCCCGGGGATGCTGGCCTGGACGGTGGCGCGCACGGGTCCCTGTAGACGGCAGCCTGGAGCCGCAGCACCGACGCCAAAGCGGGCCCGTGCCGGGCCCGGGACCCGACCCTGGACAGCTCCCTCGCCGGGCAACGCCTGGCATGGGTTCCAGACAGGTGTGCCCACGCTCTCCGGGACGCGTGCCTGTCGTGGCACTGGTGGGGGGGCGGGGGGGACGAGGCCAACGCCGGGGGCAGGGCTAGTGTTCCTCTTTCCTGTAAATCGGCTCCAATCCAACAGGGCTCCATCATGACCCCTAGAGGTTTGCCAAGGTCGGTGAGTTCATAGTGGAGCCCCCTCCAGAGGGCTTCTGATGTGCCTCTTCTCGGGAGAGCACTGTAGGTCAGTGCGAGTCTTTTGAGCGAGGACAGAGTGTGCTCCCAGGAAGCATCTGGCTTGTATTGTTAGGTACATACAGGCAACTAGCATGGGTTTATAGTCACTGTTACTTTTCTTTTATCTTAAGTTGTGAGAAATAATACAGATAGTTCTTAGTTACTGTAAACATCCTCTTTTCAGAAAGTATTAGTCTTTCTGTCTGAAAAAAAAATCGTAAAATATTTATTTTTAACTCCCAGTGACATGTTTATCACAATAGAGCCAATAATAGTACTTGAAGATAATGAACAAAATAATGTTCAGTACTGATCGCCTTTTTTGTCATTAGAACATGTATATCTACAATTAATCAGGTTATAAAAAGGCAGAGTGTTACAAGTGTATTAAAGTGTGTTTTTTTGTGATCCTCTTTAATAAAGTTTGGGTCATAATTTAGTTCTAAAATTCATCTCGTTGGCTATTAATAAGAGTATCCACAGTCTTTCAGTATGAATTTATATAATCATCTTTTTGAGTCCTTCAATCACTATCTGGTGCCCACCTTACTCTTCTCTAACAGTCTGTTTAGTCATTTTTTCCTTAGTTCCAGTCTATTTCAGTTTCCTCCTGTTTAGAAATGTACTTGGGACCTCAAGCAGGTGGCCTGTTTTCTGTATCTTCATAATACTGTGTGGTTCATTTTGGTGGAAAGGACACACTGGGTAAATCTAGCTACCGCGTTCGGAACGGATCACAAGTTCAACTGGTTGATGAAATTGTCACTAGCTTGATAAATAAGGTGTTAGTATCATTCCCACTTAATATGAGCTTTCAAAAAATTTTTTAAATTTAAATTTCAGCAAATTTAATTTAAATTTCAATAAATTTGTATTTAAACAAATTTAAAAATTTGTTTATGTATTTTGTGAGAGAGCACGTGCATACAAGTTGGGAAAGGGAAGAGTATAGGGAAGGAAAGGAAAAGAGAGAGAATCCCAAGCAGGCTGTGTACTGTCAGGGCGGATCCCGATTCAGGGCTCGAACTCAGGAACCACAAGATCACGACCTGAGCTGAACTGGGAAGCTTTACCAACTGACCCACTTAGCTGCCCCTAACTTTCAAAATTTTACATTCACAGCTGGGTACGAAAAATGAGAGATTCGAAGTTTTCAGTACACCTCCAATGAGGTGTTTATTATTATTTTTTTTTATATTTTTATTTATTTCTAGGGGAGAGAGAGAGAGAGAGAGAGAGACAGGATGAGCCGAGGAGGGTCAGAGAGAGAGGGAGATACAGAATCTGAAACAGGCTCCAGGCTCTGAGCTGGCAGTGAGCACAGAGCCCGACGCGGGGCTCGAACGCACGAACCGTGAGATCATGACCTAAGCGAAAGTTGGACGCTTAACCAACTAAGCCACCCAGGCGCCCCTCCAATGAGGTGTTTAAAAATGGGGTGATATTTTAATTTAATTTTTTTTTATTTTAGACATAGAGCACAAGCAAGCAGAGGAGGGAACATATGGGGGAGAAAGCAACAATCTCAAACAGATTCCATGCTCAGCGCATAGCCCAATACGGGGCTCAAACCCAAGACCCTGACATCATGACCTGGGCCGAAATCAAGAGTTGGACGCTCATGAGACTAAGCCAAGGTGCCCCAAAATGTAGTGGTTTTTCAACTATGCAATAATGTGTATTAAAAGGCAAAACATTTGAAAGACACTGATTTATGACTTATTTTTTCCCCGAACGTTACCCGACCCGTGCTTAAAAATCCAATACCCAGAGGGATATGTGAAAATGTTTCAACCTTTCTAAGGGATGGTTAGATTATGGAGACTATACTATTCACCAATACTGAGAAAGTTAACCAGTTTCTTGGTAATCAAGGGCTTCACCAATTTTTACAAGCCAGTTTCGACAATCAATGTCCATTTAAAAATAAAAGACAGGGGGCCCCTGGGTGGCTAAGTCGGTTAAGTGTCTAACTTTGCCTCAGGTCATGACCTCCAAGTTCCTGAGTTCGAGCCCCACACTGGGCTCTGCGCTGACAGTATGGAGCCTGCTTGGGATTCTCTCTCCCTCTCTGCCCCTCCCCCTCTCGTGCTTTCTCTGTCTCCCTCTCAAGTTAAATCGATAAACTTTAAAAAAAATAAAATACAGGATTTTAAAATACCAAGAATCAAAAATTACACGCGTAGGCATAAACTAAAAGTTACAGGAATATGTACTCAAGGGCAACTTTAAAATTCCTACATGCTAGTAGCCTTTAACAAGAAGTAAGGACATACTATATTCTTGAATAAAGAATATAGAATATAGAATAAAGAATCATTCATCAATCTATTCGAATACTAAGGAAAATCCAAAAGACTTTTGAATGCTTTGTTGTTATGTTCCAGTGTTTGTAAAGGAAACTAAACAGGCAGGAATATCTTGGAGAGTTATGACAATTAACAGCCATGTTGCATGAGGAGTCTTAACACATATGCAAATATAGAACACAAAATCCAAAGATAGACCTGAAGTCACACAAGAATTTCCTATACAGGGAGGCAGCCTCCCAATGAGTAATAGCGGTCTGCCTAGAGACAAAGGGGTAGCCGTCTACCATTGGCTCTTCGTTTCACAAACCTTACAATAAAACCAGTATAAACTCTACATGGAGTGCAGAACTATAAAACTGTAGAACTCCTGGAAGAAATAATGCGTAGATTCCTTTATAACCCTGGAAAAGAAAAAGCCTTTTCTACCTTTGAGTCAAAGATCCAAAAAAAAAAAAAAAAAAAAGGGTAAGGGTGCCTGGGTGGCTCAGTCAGTTAAGCATCATAATCTCCTGGTTTGTGGGGTCAGGCCCCGCATCGGGCTCTGGGTTGACAGATCAGAGCCTGGAGCCTGCTTCAGATTTGGTGTGTCCCTCTCTGTCTCTGCCACTCCCCCACTTGCATTCTCTCTCTCTCTCAAAAATAAACATTAAAAAAATTTTTAAAGGAAAAAAAATGGGTAATTGTGAACATGTAAGAGTCACCAGGTTAAAGGAAAACCATAATCAAAGCTAGAAAAGCACTGATAAAAAGGAAAAAAAAATTCAATTCACATTAGTAGTCTTCCTAATACCTAGGGTGAACTTCCAACCATCGTTGAAGAGAAAGATTAGCAACTAGCAAATAGAAAAAGATACTAACAGCTCACAGAAACACAAAATGCCCTCAAATATACAAAAAAAAATTCCTCAGGCACTCATATAAGAGAAATACGAACAAAAACTACACTTCCGTATAATTGCTCACATCTAATGAGTTCCCAACCAAGACCTGCCCGACCAGCCATTTCCCGGACTTCTCTTGGATCTGAATTGTAACAAGCGGCCCCAAAGTCCCCTTGCCCCACGAAATGGTTAACAATCCCACTGTAAACAAAGTAGTGTCTTTTATATGAAAATCACTGACCTTGCCATCTCGACAGCCCTCTCCTGCCATCACAATGTGAATTTTTAAATTTTGGAAATAAGGCCAAAATTCTGCCTCACTATCCGCAACCTGAAACAAATGTGCCCGCAGCGCGCGCGCGCAGCCTCTACCCCGCCCCCCGCCCGCCTTAACAAAGGGATCTGAAAGTTACTAGGTTGTTTTACTTTTGGACTTTTTAAATGCACCTACAATTTTGTTTGCCTTACTCGTAGTTTGTATTACCATTAAATTTCATTATCCTTACTAACCTGAGCCTATTTCTTTAAAAAGCTTCAGTTTCTTTCATTAAGAGAACGCATCGTCCTTAGCGATAACTCCTACTTCACTGAACTGTAACTCGATGCAAACAGTGAACTACCAGCATTTCCATCACTTGGGGAGAGCCCCCTGAAAATCTGGGGCCTTCTTCCTCCACGTGGTTAAATGTACACGTGGAAATGGAGCTGTAATTTTTTTTGAGGTCAAAAATTCATTAAAGGAAATGTTACTTCTCTAGGGATGCAGTCCGAGGAGCCCTCCATCCAAACCACCAAACAGAACCTCCTGCGGCCACGTAAGTGGGGAGGGGGGAGAGGAGGGAGAGGCGCCAGAGTGCGGGGAAGGGAGAAGGAATCCGCGCCCCCCTCCCCGCGGCCACAGGGAAACCCTCCCAAGCCCACCGACCGGAGGCTCCCCCTACACGCGAGGCCACAGAACTCAGGCGGCGGTACAGTCCCGGCGCCCACGCTCGCCCCGCCTCGGCCCGTCCCCTCCCGTCCCCGCAAGCGGGCCGGGCAGCAGCCACCCCCGGCCTAGGTCGCCAGCCGGCCACAGGCTGCCCACACTGCTGAGGGCAGGGAAGGTTCTCGGGCCCGGAAGGGCCGCCCAAGCCCCCAGCCCCCGGAACCCTCGCGCCCGAGAAAGGAAAGGAACTGCAACGGGGACGAAAGCCGAGGGACCCACCTGGCGGAGGCGGCGCTCGCAGGCGGGAAAGACCAGCGCACGCGGTCGTGGAGTCTCGGGGCCGCCGCACCACTGATCCGGAATAGGCAGTCCCCACTTGCCCCCAAACCTGCGCTTCACCCCATTGTTCCCGGTTCTGGGTGAGGGTTGAAAGAATCAGGAAGCCAGAGGAGGAGGAGAGATATAGTATCTCTACCTCCAGCCCCGCCCAAGGGAGGGTTGGGACATCCTCAGAAGGCCCCAGGTGCAAGACGGGGCGGAGAGGGGGGGAGTCAGAGGGGAAACCCACCTTTGGCCATTTGCAAAGGAGACCCAACTTCTTCCCCTTCGTAGCGCCCCTGCCGGCGAGAAAGTAAGTGATGAACGTGCTGGGACAATAAAACCGAAAATGTACCGCTCAACAGTAGCCAGGCTATTTAGGGGGGAAAGAAGTTTGAATACTACACTTTCAAACGAGCCTACACGTTTGCGTCATTCATACGCTTGAGGTAATGAAAGCGTTAATTGCTCCCTTCCCGGGTGAGAGTCGGGATCCGAAGACCAGGCGCTCCTCGCGCCCCACCACCTCCTGCTCTTTGCCAAAGACCAGCTCGGGAGCCAGCGCCCCTTGTATGGCCTTTCCGGGGCTGCTGCCGGCGGTGTCCACGCCGCCTAGGGATGTGCTGGGCCCTAAAAAATCACAGCGCCTGTAACGCTTCTCCTGCCTCACCAGTGTCTTGATTTATTTCCTCCCAATTATTAAAAGAAGAAAACGTTCCTCTTGCAAAGTCCTGTTCCCATAATGGAGACACGTATAGAAGAAAAGGAACCTAACAGGTGACCCGGCTGCTCAGAGATGAAGTGTGTTAATAGGGCGCGTGTATCCCCCCAGCCGGCTGTAACCGGATGAGACAGAGACATGGAAGCAAATAAAGATCTTTTAAAACAGTCTGCTAAGGAGTTCCCGAGGTTCCTGGGTGACGTCCAGTTATTTGGTTACTAAACAGTGGACTCAGTGGACTCTCTTCATTTCCATTGACAAATGCAATCCTTGCTTATTATTTTTTTTTAAAGAAAACTTCACTATATTCATGAATACAGACATATTGAAAGGGAGAACTGAAGTCACTCGTGCCCACACCTGCATAGCCCCTGCCTCCCCCCCCCCCCCCCCCCCCCCCCCCCCCCCCCCCCCCGCCAAGACCATTTGGGGTCAGGCTGCTCGCAGCCTGGTTCAAGCTGGGACTCCCAGCCCCTTTTTCCTCACCCATTCCCTAGGTTGTTTGCGCAGAAGTGGGTGGGGATTTCTAGGGCGGACGGAAGGAGGACAAAGAAGACCCCGAGGGGCTTTGTCTCTGCCCGGCAGCTGCCTTTTTGCATTTCAGGTCAACACAGGAAATCCCACCAAACCCAGCTGCCTCCCACTCGCAGGGGTGAAGGGAGGGGTTCGTTCGCTGCCTCATTCTCCCCACCTGGCAGAGTGGGCAATGAACGAGCTTCCCCTCCTCCCCTGATGGGGCTCTGGATCTCAGCTGCCCTCTGGATTCCTCCCTGTGTTTCTTGTCATTCACGTTAAGGAGAAGTGACCATTTCCTCACGCAGCCGTGCCAGTCAAAGCCTTTTTTCCTGACCCCATTCCCTGGACAGACACAGATTCAGTAACTACTAACCCCTCATCATACCAGGAAACAGGTCTAAATGGCCCTGCCCTTGTGAACCACACGCACGGGGCTCTCAAGCTGCAAAACCCGTTGCTCTCTCCTTGCACATGGCCAATAAGCACACAAAAAAGATTCTCCACAAAATCAAAATCCCAGGAGACACCACGTCACACCTACCAGGAGAGCTAGAATGAAAAAATGGAAAACAAGTGTGATAAGGATGTGGAGACATTGGGACCCTCGTGCGCTGCTGGTGAGAATATTGTACAGGGACCGTGGAAGGCACTTCCACCGTGAGTTAAACATAGAGTGACCACATGATCAGCAATTCCACTCCTAGGTATATGTAACAGAGAGTGAAAACAGATATTCAAACAAAAACTGTACATAAATATACAGGACAGCATTATTCATTAACAGGGGAAACAACCCAAATGCCATCAACTGATGAACGTTAAACACAAGGTGTTATATCCATACCATGGATTCTTTTTTAGGCATAATGTGGAACGAAGTACTGACACATGCTAAACCGTGGACAAACCTTGAAAACATAATACATGAAAAAAGATAGACACTGAAGAACACACACTGTAAGATCTCATTCACTAGAAATGTCCAGAACAGGCAAATCTATAGGGCGGGCAAGTCATTAGTGGTTGCCAAGGGCTAATGGGCAGGAGATGTTGGGAGAAAAACTACCATCTTAGTTCGGTCACCAGGGGCCTGCGAATTAAGGAACAGAAAACCAACAAGAGAAAATTTCACTTGTTATGTGAGAGCATTTAGATGAAGAGTCTCCCTAAACAGCTTGGGATAGGAGTTTATATACCAACTTCACAAGGTGGGGGGGGAGGGGGGGACCAAAGGATGAAAAGTTCTTATGAGGTTTCCTTACACAATCTTTTGGAATGTTCTGATGCTCAAGATCAGGCCTCCCTGATGAGAGACTCCCTGAATGGGGGACCAGTTGTGGCAGGTGTCTCATAAAACTGCTTTGCTAGCTATGAGAAATTCAGACAAGGCTTCTGCCTCTCTTGCATCTCAGATGTTTTCACTTTGAAGCGATCTTTATACCATTCAGATGGTTACCAGTCCCATCAAGAGAATGGGGAATGACTGATAATAAGTATGGATTTTTCCGGGGCGCCTGGGTGGCTCAGTCAGTTAAACATCCGACTTTGGCTCAGGCCATGATCTCACTGCTTGTGAATTCGAGCCCTGCATCAGACTCTGTGCTGACAGCTCAGAGCCTAGAGCCTGCTTCAGATTCTGTGTTTCCATCTCTGTCTCCCCTCCCCTGCTTGCACTCTGTTTCTGTCTCTCTCTCAGAAATAAGGAAAAAAAAAAACAAGTATGGATTTTCTTTTGGGGATGATGAAAATGTCCAAAAATGTATTATGATGATTGCTGGACAATTTTCTGTGTATACTAAAAAACAATGGCTGATACATTTTAATGTGGTGAGTTACATGTTATGTAAATGGTATATCAATCCAAAAAAAAATGTAAACCGGCACATCAATTTAATAAAATATAGGTAAAAGATGGAAAGTTTTACACTCTGGGTGAATCAAGGTAAGAATACTGCAATCCACTATTCAATGTTTACATCCCCCAAAATGTGAGCAACAGATATGGTGTGTGTTCTGATATAGTGTGACAGAAGTGCAAAGTGTCCACTATAAAAAGTCAAATTTCGGGGCGCCTGAGTGGCTCAGTCGGCTAAGCGTCCGACTTCAGCTCAGATCATGATCTCACGGTTCGTGGGTTTGAGCCCCGCGTCTGGCTCTGTGCTGACAGCTAGCTCAGAGCCTGGAGCCTGTTTCAGATTCTGTGTCTCCCTCTCTCTCTGCCCCTCCCCCACTCTCACTCTTATCTCTCTCAAAAATGAATCAATGTTAAAAAAAAAAAAACTTTAAAAAAACCCAAAAAGTCATATTTGAGCCAATGCTATATATGATTCTTGTTGGCATATCCCAGTAAGAACAAATCAAATTTAAGAGACACATTCAGGCCCAACAGGTTCATTGCACATGAATGTTTTCATGTGACATCAGGGAGTAATTGTAATTTTTGTTAGATGTAATGATGGTATTTTGGCTATGTTTTTTAAAAGCCCTATTTGGGGTATCTGGGTGGCTCACTTGGTTCAGCGTCTGACTTTGGCTCAGGTCATGATCTCGCAGTTCATGTGTTCGAGCCCCATGCTGACGGCTCAGAGCCTGGAGCCTGCTTTGGATTCTGTGTCTCCCTCTGTCTCTGCCTCTCCCCTTCTCAGGTTTACTCTCTCTCTTTTTCTCTCTCAAAAATAAATAAACATTAAGAAAAAATTTAAAGTTAAAAAACTCTTTGTTAGAGTTTATGGTACAGTTGAGTAGTGGAGGAAATACCTTCCTTGAATTTTTGCACGAAGGTATATGAAATCGGGAATATGCTTTGAAATATGCCAGCAAAAAATTAAAGAAAGAAAACATAATTGGGAAAATATTAGTCCTTGTGGAAGCTGGTTGGTACACAGAACTTGTTATGTTGCTACATCTGCTTTGTCTGAGTGGATCCGTGTTACAGAGCTAACAAAGCCTACAAAGGCGCCCACCAGCCTGATAAAGGTATCATATTTTGAGTATGTTACTGAGATATACGGATAAAATACCAAGCCAAAAGAGCTGATGATGATTCTATTTACAGATCTGTAATCCATTGTGTTTCCAGTTAAAACTAAAGACAGATGATTTAAAAAAAAAAAATTTTTTTTTAATTTTAAGTAAACTCCACACCACACGTGGGACTCAGACGCACAACCCCACGATCAAGAGTTGCCCCACCGACTGAGCCAGCCGGGTGCCCCCAAGGTGATCTTCAGTACAGTACCCCCCCACCCCACTTATCAGTGATTTCATTTCCACAGTTACTCCCAGAGTGTAGTTCAGAAACAGATGCTCCTTCCAACAACGTGGTATAAGAAGGTCAGCAGTAGCCTAAGGATCATGACAATACTTAGGTCATTCACACCTCGTCATCTCGCACACAGTCATTTTATCATCTCACATCATCACGGGAAGAGGAAGAATGAGTATAGTACAGTAAGACATTTTGAGAGAGAGAAACCACATTCACATAAGTTTTTTTTTAATCTTTTTATTTCTGAGAGACAGAGAGAGACAGAATGCGAGCTGGGGAGGGGCAGAGAGAGAGGGAGACACAGAATCTGAAGCAGGCGCCAGGCTACGGGCTGTCAGCACAGAGCCCGACGTAGGGCTCGAACCCACACGAACCGTGAGATCATGACCTGAGCCGAAGTCGGACGCTCAACCGACTGAGCCACCCACGCGCCCCACAGGTAGCCTGATATTTTTATCACCTCTAGACGCAGAAGAGATTTGAGGTGATCCCGTTTGTCTCCCTAGAGAGCGAAGGAAAGGGGCTTCTGTCTTCCGGTACTGGGTCTGAAGGATGACATTGAAACTTCCCCTGTGAGATGCAGTCCGCTAT